AGCGAAAATAGCTGCAGCAGCGCGATTGCTTGTGCAAGTCCGTTTGCTGCGCTCCACAATTGGGGGCTGTTCTGGGAAATTTCCCAAAGTCCCAGGGCCATCGCGGCCCTTGACCGGGCGCGGGGTCTCGAACCACGCGCCCCAGATTAGGCGCGGGGTCTCGACTCACGCGTCTCAGGGCCTTCGTGGCCCTTGGCTGGGCGCGGAGTCTCGACTCACGCGTGCGGCCTTTCCTTAGGCGCAGCATGCTGTTGCGCCGCTGTCCTGCACCCCCATGCAATGTGTCGGGAGGTTGCGGGACAGCCGGAGGGCACCACCCTTCTCGAATGCATCGAGACAGGGGCAGTGCCATTCCCCGAGCGGATGTCATACGTTCGGTGGCTCGAATGGCGTAAGGAGACCGGGTCGCGGCCGGTCAAACGGCGCGATGGCCGGTCTACCTCCACGACGGAGGAGGTGGCCCTTTGGCGCAGCGTCATGGATTTTCTCCATGACGTGAAGGAGGAAGAGGAAGAAGATGAGGAAGAGGAAGAGGAGGAGGACGATGAGGAAGAGTCCCCTCCTCCAGCGGAGGCCGTCGATGATCCCGACGGCCCGAGCTCATCCCTGCGGAGGGGGATGGGCTGGGTGAGGCGGCTGCTCTTGAGCAGGCAGCTGCCCTGCTGCTCCTGCAGCGCCCACTACCGGAGTCACTGGGCTGGCTGCGGTTGGAAACAGCGCGCTAGCTGTGGTTCCCTTGTCCGCCGACCGTCGGGCGGGGCTTTCGGGTCCGCCCTCGACGGCGGGATCTGTGCCTGCTACGGCCGAGTCCCTGCAGGCCGATTTGCGGGAGATGTATCGCCCGGACCAAGAACCAGTGGCGGATTATCTCACGCGCATTTCCCGCATCGTCCTGGCGCTTCGCGCGCATGGCGTTGCGGTTTCGTCGTCGGAGCTTGATATGCTCACGACGAAGGCCACGCTCCTTGCGGAGGAGTTCGGCCAGGTCGGGGGCGACTGGCGCCCGACCAGGATGGTCAGGCGTCTGCGGACCAGGTTCACGGTCGCAGCGCTTAAGGAGGGTGACGACGGCGGCGATGTCGCCCAGAAGGAAATCCAGGCGATAGGTGAGGATCCTGGCACTCGGCGGCAAGCAGAGTGCTAGCGCCGATAAGGTCTGGAGTTCCCCCTCCGACGTTCTTCTGGGAGCGGCGGGCTCTTCTCCGCCTGCCTTCTTCTCGTTGGCTGTGGCGGGCATCACCGAAGGCGGCCAGCAAGGCGCCTCAGCCTGGGCTGGCAACGGCCAGCCTTAGCGTCTGGCGGCCAACCTTGGCGCCTCTGCTAGGAGCAGGCCCCCGCGGCCCCTCCGGGCGCGGACGGGCTTGCCCGTGGCGACTCTCCTTTGCGCGCCCGCTTGGCAGCGTTGGAGATGGAGATGGAAGCTCTCAAGCGCGGCTCCGATGGGGGCGCGTCTGTCGCCGAGGGCGGGCAGGCGGCCGACCTGGCCGCTGCCCTGAAGGAGCAGACAGAGGCCTTGAAGGAGGCTCTGTCTTCCCGCAGCGTCTCGAATTCGATAACGACGGTCAAGACCGACTTGGTTTGGCCAACGTTAACAGACGACAAGAGTGACACGAAGGATGTCGTCGAGGAATTCGAAGACGTCTGTGCCCTGGCGAACAATTGCCGCGGCATGTCTGCGCGGGAAAAGCTCCTGGCCCTGCGGGCCCGTTGTAAAGGGTCGCGGGCCAAGACCGACACCAACGCCTATAAGGCGGCGTCGCGCAGCGGTGAGGTCATGTCCGACCCGGAGTCGGTTTATCTCCGCATTAAGAATAAACGCTTAATGTTCGGAGAGTCCCGGGAAGAGCGGGAAGTCCGCATTGACGGGGAGCGTCAAGCTCTCGTCACAAGGGACGGCTGAGCGGGCATCAGTTCGAGCCGCTCTTTGAAGCCTCGGTGGCGGACCTCGAGTCGGTCGGCCTCGGCAAGACGGCTCGTGAACTCTACTTGTCGTACCTTCGCAAGATGCCACCGCACTTGCAGAAGGAGATCCGCCAGGATAAGCGGATCTGGCCGGGAGACACCAAGGACGTGGGTCTCCGGTCCCCTGCCACGTGAGAGGAGTGCCACAAGGTGGTCCTCGAGTATGAACAGCGAGAGGCGGCCCACCGAGCTGTGGCGCACTCGACGTTCTCCACGGCAGGGGAAGTGGTTGATTTAATGCGGCTTTGGCAAAAGCGCAGAAGGAGATCCGCCTCAAGGCCGCTGCCAAGGCAGCCGCGGCCAAGCCTTCTGGCGCGGCAGCTAGGGACAGTACCTTGGCGGCCGGTTCTGGCGCCAAGGGTGGCGGGAAGGGAGCAGCTAGCAAGATCTGCTTCCACTTCCGCGACCACGAGAACTGCCCAAAGCGCGACTCCTGCCCCTTCTCCCAGGACAAGGAGCTGCGGAAGCAGGCGCTCGCAGCCAAGCGTGGGGAGAGCACCTTGGCCGCTAAGGGCGGCAAGGGCGGTGGGAAAGGAGGCGGCAAGGCCGGATAAGGCCAAGCCCAAGGCTGGTGCGCGGTCCTGCTCCCCTCCGCCTGCCGCCGCGGCCCGTTGGGCGCGCGGCCCCTCTGCGGTTTGCGGCCGTAAGGCGCAACTGCGCAACCATCCGGCGTTGTGTTTGAGCCGGTTCGCACGCGGCGACGTCCTATAGGGCGTTCGCTCGCCGGGTGATGAACCGCCTCGCGCACATCTGCGCAGGCAATACATCAGTGCCTGGACCGGGGTGGCGGCAGCCCGTGCTCCTCTCCGTGCAGAGAGGCTCGGCCTGGAGAAGTCAGACGAGACTCTGGCGGCTGTTGCGCAGCAGTCGGCCGAGCTCGTCCAGGAGGTTGGCGCGGAGGCCGCGCGGACCGTCCAGGTCGCCGCTGTCAGCGTCATCGTCCTGATGCTCTGCGCCGCGGCGATTTGGTTTATCGTGCGGGCAGTGGGCAGTCCTGAACCGTTTGGTTTACGCGCTGACCGGGAACTCGCTTCCCGCCCAGCTTGTTGAGCTCGTGGGCGGCGAGGCGACGTTCACTGTCACAGGGCGGAGGTCTGCAGCCCAGCACAGGGGTCTGGGTTCGCCTGGAGTCCAGGCAGTCCGCCTGTGGCTGCAGGGCCTTCCTTCAGGAAGGGGTGTGCGGGCATTAATTGCGATGCCGCCGTCCGGATGGCCGAGCAGCTGGGTCTGGTTGCTCCGGACCTGGCCACCTCAACTTCGGAGGGGCGCTGGCCCTTGCGGCTGCGCCAGCAGCGCAGGGCTCGAGGCGCACAATAATGACGCCGAAGGCTGGAGCCGTCAGCCATGGCGTCCGTGAGGTGTCTTACTTGTCCGGCGACTCCTATATGTCGCGGCGGGAATCGCGGTCCTGGGGAGGGCCCGCTCCCGGGACAAGGTTTACCTCCGGGCGTACTCCTTCGATGCGCCCAGCATCTTGGAGGCGCTGGAAGGAGTCTGCGCGCGGGGAGCGGCGTGCAGCTTAATCGCTGACGCCTCCCAGTGCGGCAAGACAAAGCTCCAGTGGCAGTCGCTTAAGCGCGTCGCTACTGCCGGAGTGTCCGTCCGTCTCGCGGCGGGTCACTCCGTGCGAGACGCGTACCTCTCGGATGGGAGAGGTGCGACTGTGGGAGCGGGCCTGAAGGGGCTGCGCCACTCGAAGGCCCTTCTGCTGGTCGGTGAGACGACAGCACAGATCGTCGTCGCCAGTTTGAGCTGGTCGACGAGCTCGAAGGCCAATGCCGAGAGCGGACTGCACATTGCAGTCGCCTCTGGAGCTCCAGTGGTCACGGACTTTGTCCGTGACTTCGACAGAGTTTACTCTGGAGCTTCGGCACTTGACGACGCGAAGCCTCCGGGCCCTAAGGCGCGGCGGCTGCGACCGGCAGCGCCCGGCAGGCTCCCCCGAGCACCACAGTTTGAGTGTCTGCGGCAAAGCCCTGCGCGACACAGGCGCGGGCCCAGCGGGCACTCTGCCGCGGCTTCGCTTAAGGCCCGGCATTAATTTGCGGGCAGGTCCTATGCCAGGACCTGCGGCAGATCGTTCTGCGCGGGATCGGCCATGCAGGCCACCCGCGCCGCATCATAGTCGTCCGCGACTGTGCCAGCTGGGCGCCCGCCAATGCGCCCCCTCGTGACAGTTGGCTAGCGGACCCTGATCGGTCGCAGCCACGCGCCAAAGCGCGCGGCTCGCGGCCCCTGATCGGGTGCGGCTCAGTAGTGTAGGGTAGGGCAGTAGGGCCTAACTGAGCCGCCTGTAGAGTAGAGTAGTGTCTTTTCGCAGCGAGACTGCAGGGACGCTTCTTCGGAAGCCTCGACTCGCTGGTGCCAAAAGTCAAAGGTCCTTGCGGGCATCGGAATGCCCAGGGCTTGGTTTAGGAGGGTGCGTAGGTGTGTGCTTTGTTCGTCGTTCGGTCGTTGCTGGGCTTCGCCCATTCCGCTCACGATCGCGCGCGCCTGCCCCTCCTGGCACTTAGCAGTGCGGGATTGGATCCGCACCGGAGCCTCGGCTGAGGGGCGAATGTGAGCATGCATACCAGTGCTTGCATGCGTGTCCCTGCAGTGCTGCGTGTAGTTTGTAGTTTTGCATGACAGCTTTAATTTGAATGCCAATAATTTTGGCTCAAGGCTCAAGTACCTTTGCTACTAGGTGTGCCAATTGT